AGTATTGAAAGTGATTATTTTCATCTTTAGGGAGGAAAATGGACAGAGAGAAGCTGAGACGAGACAGACAGACAGACAGACAGACAGACAGACAGACAGACAGACAGACAGACAGACAGACAGACAGACAGACAGGGAGAGGGGCAGAGTCAGAGAGCCAGAGAGGGGTGGAGAGAAAGAGAATTGATAATGAAAGGATATGAAAGCAAATCACAAATGCAAAACAAATATCTACTTCATGACAAAATATCCTGGTGCACATGGCAGGTGCATAAGAGATATGCTTAAGCTATAAGAGAGGAGAGGAGAGGGAGAGGAGAGGAGAGGAGAGGAGAGGAGAGGAGAGGAGAGGAGAGGAGAGAGAGAGGAAGGAGAGGAGAGGAGAGAGAAGAGGAGAGGAGAGAGAAGAGGAGAGGAGAGAGAAGAGGAGAGGAGAGAGAAGAGGAGAGGAGAGAGAAGAGGAGAGGGAGAGAAGAGGAGAGGAGAGAGAAAGAGGAGAGGAGAGAGAAGAGGAGAGGAGAGAGAGAGGAGAGGAGAGAGAAGAGGAGAGGAGAGAGAAGAGGAGAGGAGAGAGAAGAGGAGAGGAGAGAGAGAGGAGAGGAGAGAGAAGAGGAGAGAGAGAGAAGAGGAGAGGAGAGAGAAGAGGAGAGGAGAGAGAAGAGGAGAGGAGAGAGAAGAGGAGAGGAGAGAGAAGAGGAGAGGAGAGAGAAGAGGAGAGGAGAGAGAAGAGGAGAGGAGAGGGGGAGAGAGGGGAGGAGAGGAGAGAGGAGAAAGAAAGAGAGAGAGAGAGAGAGAGAGAGCATTAAAACATATTATGTATGGAAAGACAATATTAAGCCTTGAGACAAAAATATGCACTAGGAGGCATACATATGGTTTGTTGATGGGGACTAGTGAGTGCTAAGGGAATAAGGGAGTCAGCATATTTATAGGAGGGAGGGGGAGTATATAATGATAATCCATATTTTGTACACACAATGTTCATTTGCAAGTAGGAAAGGAGTGAGATGTGCACCAGGAGGTGCTTATATGTTTGGTTTAGGAAGACAAAAAGGCACTAAAAGATGAGAAAATAGTGGTGGACATTGAAAGGTATAGCTAGATGGAATGTGGCAAACAGTACTTGAATTGCATCTTTACACTCCCAGTCTCCTATTGACAGTGAAAAATATGTGGGTAACTAGACTGCTAGTTTTGAAGAAATTATGCTTGGTCAAATGCCTTTGGACTATATGTAAAAACTGAATGTAAACTCCGATAAGAATTGGATATATTTGGATATGATGGTGTATTTTTCTTGATCTGTGGAAGATTATGTCAACCAAGATTTTTCTTGATATAAAAGAGTATGTTTGTGAGAAAGGAAAATTGAGCAACCCCACATATTTTAGGGTTTTCACCTGAATATGAAGGTGAATTTTTAAAACATTGAATTGAAATAAATGTTTGTACGTAAAATAACTACTCCAAAAAGAACTTATTATAATTGATTATAAAAGGTACTAATGAGATTTGATGTCATGCTTGCTTCATAAGATAGGGCATTCTTGCTCATGGACTGCTGTCTTACCCCTCCTTGGTTTCTCTGGGCTCACCATGTGCACATCACCCCTACCTGGCATTTCTACTGTTTCATCGCTATTAGTCTATTAGTACAATTTCTGAGTCGGTATAAGGATGAACTGTAGGTGCATATTCATCAACATTCATTCATTCCTGTATTCACTGGAGCCATGCAGGGGGCTAGATTTATGCAGGTTTAATAAAAATGAGCAAAAGACGAGTTAGAATGCCTTATCAGTGTTTAAAGGTATTTAAGAACAGCAGATGCGCCAGACCCCACCACCGAACAATTGTGGCAGGTCCATGCAGCAAATTAGGAAATTTGATATATTCCTTAGGGAAATTTTTGCTAGAAAAGTAATTGAACTGGATAACTGGTGGCTGGAAATTGATTGTTGACTTGTATTATGTTGAAAACAGACATTCTAATGCATATCAAATACTAGACTATGATTATCACAGAAGATAAGTTTACTGAGTAGAAAATAAGGAGGAAAGATTTCCAGAACAACAGGGGCCTTTGAAATTAGATACTTGAATTAATTTGTGTTAGATGGTACAGATCTTTGTAGTTATATGCAGGTGTGAAGGAATTGAACTGTATGATTTTTTTTTACTTTTAATCAGCTGCTCCATGAGATAGTTTTTAATGAGTATGTTATTACCATTTAATTTTTCATTCATTGTTTAGAATTATAAAGCCCCAATATAACCTTTCGTAAAACTTTTCAGCAAGCATAGAGCAGATGACAGTCTTAGACAGGATATCTGCGGACACACTCATATTCCTGCAGCTTCACAAAAGAGTTTGGCCAACTGCTCAACGTGATGCCCTGTTCTGGTCGCACATACGGGAGATATCATCCTCTGACCCAGCCAATGGCAAAGCCCATGACACCTGGATAGTCTGCAATCAGTCTGCTGAACATCCTGATGCTCCAGTTAGTATGATGATGGTTATTTTCAATAAATTATTATATATATATCTCAGTAAGTGTGAGTCATTGTAATGGTTACAAACGTGTGTATGTGTGTGTGCATGATTACGTGCACACGTGTGTTCATTTGTTTGTATGTTTTCTGTAATGCACATATGTTTGTTGACTGTTGATTATATGTTTTTTTTAGATTTGTGCATATTAAAAACTAATTTCCAGTTGTTTATGGAAGACTGGTAAAAATGGATCAGATATATGTCAAAGATTGGAGGTAATTTATAATTTCTTAATTTCAGAATGATGGGAAATATGTCCGAATAGACTTGACAGTATGTTTTGTGTGCCAAACATTTATTGACCCTCCACCAGCTGAGGGACAGCCTATAACACGAGACAATCTGTTGGTTAAAATAACTTACTGCTCAGTAGGTATGTATCATATAGATTATATATTCTGTATCTTTTTTAACAGAGAACTAATAAATATTGTAGATGTTCTTTTATTTTTTGCAAAAGTCTTTAGATTGTTTTTTTATTCACTTTTTCTGGTGTGCACTTGCATGTAGGGGTCCTTCATCTTCTCTGATCTTGAGGAAAAGAGATATTTTAATTGTATTATTTCGTAGTTAACCCATTAACACCGGTATATCTTGAAACCAAAAATTAAAGATTCTGGGCGGCTACAAAGTCTGTCCGCTCGCCGGCCGCGGCAAGCTGCTGTGTCGGAGCGCGAGCCCCGATACAGCGTCACACTGGCGGGACGCCCGGCAATGTTTATTTTTTCATGTGTCTCATATGTGGGATACCCCATCGTGAATGGGTTAAGCATAAAGTCAAGTTTTAAGATTTAATATATTATTAGCCCAGTTACTTATTTGATAGAGACAAATCTCATGCAAAATTGAAAAGCTCATTAAGTGAAGATTTTGAGCTTGATTTGTTTTCATTATCCATGTTGAGTAACATCAGTTATTGTCTAAATATAAGTGATATTGAAGTTTATGAAATAGCTGGACCAAAAATGGCTGCAAACAGGTAATGCTAACATTTGTGTGATAGCAGGACCAAAAAGGGCTGTTAACTCACTGCTTGAATATTTGTCCTATGATAACTGAAGCTGCCAAAGTTTCCTAGTAGAATTTCTGCCTTTACAGTTAACCCTGGAGGATGGGCCCCAGCTTCAGTTCTACGGGCTGTGTACAAACGTGAGTATCCAAAGTTCCTGAAGAGGTTTACCCAGTATGTTGTGGACAAGTGTGCTGACCAGCCCATTGCCTTCTCGGGGTTGAAGATCAAGGACCACAGCAAACACTGGAGGGGTTGATGGAGTCCTGCTTGGAGGGAGAAAGAACAATTGTTAAAGAAGAGTTTAAATGAATATTGTGCAAATGTAATACAGTTTTAAATGTAGTGATGATAGCACAAATGGTAGCCATCAACTGGGCAGACATTCCTCGATTTATGGAGTTCTTAGGTTCCTGAAGCTAGTACATAAGCCAAAAATAATTTAAGACCAATGAAAAGTAAATGTTTTTACAGAAAAATACAAGTGTGCACACACACACTCATGTGGACGGATATGCACACGCTCACACACACGCACGCACGCAAGCACACACACACACGCACAGACACACACACGCAGACACACACACACGCACAGACACACACACACGCACAGACACACACACACGCACAGACACACAACACGCACAGACACACAACACACGCACAGACACACACACACGCACAGACACACACACACGCACAGACACACACACACGCACAGACACACACATACGCACAGACACACACATACGCACACACACACACACACACACACACACACACACACACACACACACACACACACACACATACACACACATACACACACCACACACACACACACACACACATACACACATACACACATACACACACACATACACACACACACACACACACACACACATACACACACACACACACACACACACACACACACACACACACACACACACACACACACACACAACACACACACACACACACACACACACACACACCACACACAAACACACACACACACACAAACACACACACACACACACACATAAACACACACACACATACACATGCACGCACACATGCAGGCACACACACGCATGCACACAAACACACATATCCTTAAAAGCACTCACACACATGCACACATGTGGTACACGTGCGTGTGCACACACATAAACACTCACACACACACACGCACATACACACACACACAAAACACACACACACACACACACACACACACACACACACACACACACACACACACACACACACACACACACACACGCACACGCACAAGCACATGCACACACACACAATGTCCCCCCCTCCCTCCCACACACACACACATACAATACCCCCCCTCCTCCCACACACACACAAATATATATGTATATATTAAAAAAAACTCCTCTGAGGTATTGTCAGTGAACATTTACTGTTCCTACTATAATATCAAGTGAATGATCTATATGTTACAGAATCAAATGTCACATTGTGGGTAAGGTTGTAAAGTTACATTGAAGCCAACTGTTATCTATCCTTTGGCTGTTTAAGAGTAGCACAGCATGATGGCAGTTGTACTAGTGTGTCTGAAAGAGCCAGTTTCTTACTGTCATCACTCCTACGCACAATTCAATAGCCAAAACACTTACTGAATTTAATTTACAACATAGTGTTTTAACGTTAGATTATAAGCCAGTCATTTATTTTGAAAACCAAGGAGTGTCTGCATTTGTCTACTTTATTAGGATTTTACGAAGGGAAGGAAAACATTGTGTATAGATATAAAGCATATTAATATTATAAACTTGATATGTAATTATGTTTTGGAAGATCTTAACCTACCAGTGAATAAAGCCAAAATAAGATCAGTTTATGCAGATAAAAGCTGTAGTATCTCAGGTTCATTGATAATTATTTTTTGTTTACATTTGGTCAGTCATTGCACTTTGATCAAACACAAGAAGTAAAAGTAAAGAGTAGTGGTTCAGAAGATGCATAAATGTTAAGCTTAGTGATTGTTTGTCAAGAATGAAAGGTGATTTGTATTTGTGACTTATCCCCACTCCAAATACTGGAGAAGCAGATGGAGATGATTTTACATTCTAGATGCCCCTTTTATGCCTTGAGATTAAAGAATAGGTTGATTACGTTCTTATGTCTTATTATACTGATGTTTAATGCCATGATATGTTGTTAAGGCTGAATTGGTGTAAGTTGGAACACTGTAGATTGAATAATGAAAAATGTTTGAACCTCTTTTTGAATAAAAAATGAAAAATTATAGAGTTAACCCCTTGGCCTCAGATAAGTTCAGCAGTTGACAGTTCCAGGGCTATGTCATGGAAGGATAGGGCTTTTGGTCTTGTTTGTTTAAATTTGGTGTGCTGTGGCATGTGTGCCTACCTCCTGTCCTCCCCACACACAACTACCTATGTGTATGTATGAATGTATACATGTATGTAACCATGTATACAAATTACAACTGAAAGAATGCTCATTCTGACACCACAGAATACCAGACTTTCAGAGCCACACAGTATGCCTGGGCCAAAGGATTAACATCTTTTTAAAGTAAAAGGATTCATAGTTTTAATATTGTGAAGAAATAATTCAAAATGGCTTGTCTTTAAATGACATTATTAAAATATCTAGTGCATATCGTAACATCAGTAAATACTATGCAATTATGAATAATGTTTGAGAACCCACTTTTAGATATAGTTTAGTGTATAATGAGTTATTTATGAAAAGAATCCCTAGCAAGTATATCTAAAAGGTTTCTTGTGAAAAGTTTGCACATTTAAAATGTTCGATCCCCAAAAAGTCCAATTGAGGATTGTGTAGTATGGTGATATCAAAGCTGAATCTGTAAGATGTATGTTTCAGTATCAATTACTGAACTGTGAGAACTGTAACATTATGATTGTATAATTATACATGAGTAATAGATATGAGAAACAGATGATTATTGTAGACTCGTATAACCAAAGGAGCCAGGCAGGTAAGATGTGTCAAGTAGCTAATTGTAATATGTCACTAGACACATTATGTCTGATAGTATAATTCATGTTGTAAGATTTATGTTTTTGTTTGAAATAAGTTCTTGGTTATAGACTGCTCTCAAGTGCTAGTCTTTAAAGGCTTCAGTGAATTGGCTAATTATTGTTTTATGTCATCTCAGACATTATTTTGGGGTAGCATAACAGCAGTGAGAGAGATATCTTCAAACTATGCAGGCAAGCTAGCCATAATTTGCAGGTACTTTGATAGATGTAGATTGGATTTGAATAATCTACTGATTTCTTGTGTGTTTAGTGTATGAATTTTTTAGAATGCTGTGCTGAAATATGTTTACTTTATTTTTTACTGATGATTTAAATGATTTGGCAGATGCATCATATTCAGTTACTTTAAAGTGAAGTGATTTATTTTTATGTGTACTTTCACTAACCTACAAGTGTGCTATTGATAAGCTTTTGTACAGCATGATTGACATGTGAAGTCATGAGGGTTTATTTTCATTAACTTCATCCTCATTTTTTCAATTGCTATCTTATTTTTAGATGCCATCTGTTATCTTTTCATATTTTTATAGTGTTTAGGCCAGTGATACAAGTTACAAAGTAGTACCAATAGTGTTACTGCACATGGCTTCGTTATTGAACTTAGAGATGTATCTTTACATTTATGTGTTCAAGCTTTTGCTTCAAAATGTGCATTGCATATTTTTATATGCTCAAGAGAACTAGCTCCTTGATTGCTATTTTCAGATCAGATTGGAAAGCACAGATTATAATTATAATGTCAGTTGTAACTATAAGCTTCTAGCATAGTGGTACATACAGCCTCAGCATTAATTATCTATTTTACAGAGTTTTAAATATTAGGATTTGAAAATCAAGATTTATCAAATAAAAAGTTG